ATCATTGAAGGGGAAAGCCCTCATTTCAATTCAAACAAAAACATTTTCTTACAATTAAAAGGAAAATGCAAACGGATGTGCCAACGTGATGGTCCACATCCTAAAAAGATAAAAAATTGAAAAACAACAAAAGTAAACATCATCCTAAAAAGCTAAACCATCAGCTAGGCGGGGTCCTTCTCGGTCTCAGCTTGGGAATCACTAGGGTCCTTCTCTATTTCCACCTGAGACCCGTCGACGTCCTCAAGAGTCTCTTCCTCTTGATCTTCCGGAACTTCGGTGCCATCCTTCACAATTTCATTCAGTCTGGAAAAAATTGCAGCATCTAAAGCTTGTGGGTCCGGCACGATCTTTACAACAGAGGAACCGACCTCCCAGTCCCCTTGACTAGTTCGGTTCCTGTAAGGGGGTTTTCCACGTTCTCCTCAGCCGTTGCTGCCACACATCTCTCTGCGTACTCTACCACTTCTTTTTTGATCTGGGCCGGAGACAAGAGTTTGAGATGCTGCTCAACGGTAATATCGGTAAGAGTTGAGATAAATACGTCGGCCAACTCCGCCCTCTTCTCTTTTTCTCCCTCGAGAACCATATCAACATATGCTCTTCGAAGTGCAGCACGTCTATCTGCATCTAGAGGAGGATATCCACGGGCAACGACATCTGCCTCGGTGCCATCCAATACCAGCTCATAATAAGCCCGCTTATCGTCGTCGGCGGGAACGTGAATTTCTTTGATCTCGGGATCAAACCCGAACCTCTCCATCTTTATAAGCATAATGGCCCTAAGATCTCCAACATTGTACAGACCGAATTGAAATCGGTCAACCACCCAGCGGAGGTTCAAGCAGGAGTTAAGCTCAATATCCCTCTCCATCTCGGCAGAGCCCTTGAACTCCTGTTTTTCGAGCTCTTTGTCTTCCTCAACTCCTTGTGCATGTTTGAGATCCCCAAAAGCAGCTTTTTCTTTCTCCAACCTCGTCAACTCGGCAGCATGTGCTTCCGTCAGGCGTATTAATTGTGCTTCCTTCTCGGCTCGGTCTCGACGGGTTTTTTGGTGCTCTTCCCGAGTTCGTTGGTGGTCTTCCTGTTCCCACAAAAAATGGTTTAGATTATTCCTGACCTCCATCTCGGAGGCACCGATTTGCGCCGTAAGTTTGCGCACCTCGTCTGCCAGACGATTCTTCTCGGTCGTTAACTCTTCGATTCCAGTTTTGGCCGTAGCAAGGTGGGCCGTCTTTTCCTTCATCTCAGCTGTTAAGGTAGCTTTGTCGGCCTCCAGAGACATGAGTTGGCCATCGCGCAACTCCAGTTTGTTTTTTCGATCGTTAAGTGCAGCAGCATTCATGCGAAACTCATCCTCCATGGCACAAAGACCAACCAAAGCTCTCCCCAAAGTAGCCTTGGCGTAACTGAATCTGTAAGCGCTCGATAGCCCGGACACTCGCGCCTCAGTCGAAGGGTCCCAAGACATTAACGGAACCCGAGCTGCCTCCATCACATGTGGGGGCTGATGAAATTTGTTGTTGAATTTCGGGACAATCATAGAATGGAATTGGGTAAACCAACTCTCCATTACGTCATCTGGGAGATTGAGGTCAAGGATCCTCTCTTCGTCAATGGGCAGATAAGTATTTTCTCCGTCTTGGTGGACTGGAGCATCCCTCTCCAAGTTCAGTTGACCGACGTCTTGCCTTGCTTTAGAACGACGTTCCTTTTCCACCCCAAGTTCTTCACCGGCCTTCCTCTTGGATTTCTTCTTCTTCTTCTTTTGGGTTGAAGTTTCTTCTGTAGCCTTTTTAATCATCTCGGCATCCTCCGAGCTTGATATGATCACATGGAGGTCGGTATCGTTCTCAACTTCAGAAGGAGCGATGGGAGTTGAGGTGATAAGCCCGGTATTTGTTTCTGGAACAGTTTCCGGGACGAGCCCGATAGTTGGAGCAGGAGTCGCAATTGTAACTGGCAAACCCAACGTGGCCCCAACGTCGGCACCTCCTGAAGCATGGCCAGCAATTTTCTTCTTCAGACCTTCCAGAAAGTTCATGCGACCCATTTCGGTATCCTTCACAGAAAATCTACGACGATAATCTTTTGCTTCTCGAACAAATTGGAATCCTAAGAAACCAAGTAACGGATAATAAACTGAAAAGAAAAGATAACAACAGAAATCATTCCAATTCTAAAGTGAGATAATCTAAAAGAAATGAAAATCTGTTTAGCCAACACAGTAAGAACTTGCCAGGTTCAAAGTCGGGGATCGCTTTCTTCGGTCCGAGCTTAGCTTCAGCAGGTTTAGAATTTTTCGTCAACAGATTCCACTTGCGTTATGAAGCGTTTAGCTTTGTAATGCTTTCAAGATTTTCCCTGAATTCACCACTGAGTCTCGGCTCCTTCTTCCTTTTGGCTACAAATATAAAAAGGTCCGACCTGTTAGCGAAAGAAAGACATCTCGTCAGGAAGTTCCGAGTAAAAGAGAGAAACTTACGGAAAGAAGAAACAACTCTGGTCGGGATTGTCATCCCGTCGATTGGCCTCTCAAGTCAGAAGTCGGGAGATTGCCAATCCCCACCGACCCATAACCACTCGTCTTGGAAGCCGTGAAGGGTATCGGGAATTCCTGTGATTATTTGTCCTGTCTTCAATTCATATTGCGGCCTCGCAGCACAGAAAAAACAACCAGTTGGAGGGACCCCTTCACGTTCCCTACTCCTCTTGAAAAGGAAAATGCTCCTTAATTCTTTGATTGAAGGGAATGGCAATTTCTTTTGCGCCAGAAGCACCATGATCCCTATGATATTTTTTCCAACTGTTGGGCGTTATTTGACTGAGGCTGAGACCCCAATCGCGCAGGTAGTCGGTTATCACGTTGTCTAGGGGAAATCTCAAGCCCGACCTCAGGCTTTCGGTGAAAATCCCCACGCAACCAGGAGGAGGACAATGTATCCTTTCTCCCGGATAAGGCGCAAAAATCCTCACCGAAGTGGGAATCCACACCGACTCGCGCAACAAGACTACGTCGGCATCAGTCATAATGCTAGGCTCTCCTCGGAATAGCACATCGTCTTCGGGCCAACGCCGAGCAGGGGGGACTCCAATACCCCGACTTTACGGGGATATCTTGTTCCACCTCTGCGTCTCCTTCAACATTGTTCTTTCGGATATCCAGACGATCTACAAAGGCAGGGTCCCACCGGTAGTAATCTCCCATCAACTCCATCAACTCCTCATCTAATTCCATATCCGACACAGTTCGGCTGCTGCTTGGCCCTGCTTGCTCACCACTCACCGCCATAATCACGACCAGAAAAAGTAGCGAAAGGAAATTAAGAAATGGAAGGAGAAAATTAGGGCTTACCGAAAATCGAAGTAAATCTTTAAGGAATAACACAGTTTGTCGAAATACGGATAACGAACAGAAGAAAAATGAGAGAAAGAATTGAATATTTGAAAAGATTGAGAAGTTGCTTAAGGATTTCGTGAATAGGGACTATGATCATACATATATATATATATATATATATACGGTATTTTCTAACAGTTGGAGACGGAGAGGCGCGTGAAACCATCGCGTCGTTTGGAGAAAATCGTCTTAATTCTGACATAAATATTCGAAGTGTAATCTCATACGTACACGTGTCCTGAAAACTGCCGAAATTTAAAATCGTAAAATATGATACGTGCTGTTGAGAAGAGTAGTGGGGAAGACACGCTTGTAACCTCTAGAAACTGCTTTGTAACCGTCTTCTGGTCTTATGAAAATCTATTAAGGGAGCGAGTATATGATTTTTTTGTCTAAGGAAATTACCTCGAAAAGGAAGGTCAGTTGAGGAAAGGATGTCATCAAAGAGCACGCTCATTCACGTACTCCTTAATGCCAGGGGCCTCTATGTTGATATCAGAATAAAAAAGATCATGAAAATCGAATCGCAAAACAGTTCTTTGGCATCAAACTCGGCGTCAGCTCAGAATCTCGGAATGGCCACCTCGTTTTCCAAAACAGACCGTGGCCTTAAAGATCATCAATACAGAATATTAATACCTCGGTATTAGGAACTCGGTTCAAGAATAGTCTGTTGAAGGTCATAGAGAACTAAAAGTCCATAGAAAAGTCGATGTCGTGGAGAAACCGACTTCAGCCCGACAGAAGTGACGCTTGTCACACAAATAGAGGAGCGCCCATGCTCATCATTGTCTAAAAAGCATGCCAACGTCATAGCCGCCCCTAAGCCGTCAAATCCCCATTAAATAAAGATGATTTATCTTGGGAGGTGTGTCGAACATAACTATAAATAGTAGCAATAAAGACAGTACGGGGGTTCTTTTGGACGCATTAAATTCACTCATTTATTACCTCGGTTTTCTCTTTTTCCGACTACCTGTATTAAAATACTGACTTAATCGAAATAGTTACCGACCTCAGAATATAATAAAAAATCATATTCTCTGCAATTCTCATCGTGTTTTTTTATCTTAATTACGTTGATATAATCCGTTTATCAACAGAACCAAAGTCATAATTTTAGCTGATGAAATCGCAAATTACTGAACTATTTATTCAATTGAATAAAAAAATATGAAAAATGCCACAACTTTAGTATTTGACCTGCCCAGATGGTAGCTTTAATGACTTGTTAGATAAGATGGCCTATATTAAAAAACCAAGCTTTGCTATAACTATTAATTTCGTTGAGGTCGACAATACTTTACTTCTTACTATTACCGACCGAGTCTACCAACATACGATCATCGGAAAATTATGATTATCGGAGAATACAAACGAAAACGGTTGGATTAAAAGCTTGATGTTCACAATAATATATGTTATGGTATTTCTCACAATAAAGTAATAGCCAGAAGTTAAGACACAAAACTCTCCTTACACTTTCCATCTGACGGTTTGATTGTAATATGCAGAAATGGAGTAAATGATGATTTAACCACATTCTTTCATTTGTTTTATCAATCATTTAGTTAATATATCCCCTGGGGAAGCAATAATATTATACATCGCGATCAAGAGCCTCCCTGCAAAGATCAAATGGTGGCCAATACATAAACTCTGAAATCACTTTTAGAATATTGAGTTAAAACAATCTAATTTTTGAAATTCCATCTAAATTTTATTAGGCCAAAAAGAACACAAACCGAGCAACCCCTCATATTCTATCAGGCAGAACCCATTAGGCCAAAAACGCTCATCGTTTACATGTCGCCATGGAGACAACGAGAATTCTTCAGTGGCAAAGTCAAAGGAAACAATGCTGAAATGACTGTTGGATTCGTGATCACATGCAAGCGAATAACTGATCCCATCTATGTAAACAGGTCACAGAATATTGAGTAAACAGGGATTTGAATTTATTAATTAAGGGGTTCCAAACCACAACTGTATTCCTTGCAGCTTAATTAATTTGGGACACCTGATTGCTAACAAACTGAGAAGCGTACTTGTGTGTTTAATTTCCGTCCTGATTCATTGAATAATATTACTGATTTCTGATTTAAGAACGATATAAGAAGTGAAACATTATTGATAATTACTCCATTATTAATACGGGCCAATCTATATAATAAGGTACGTACTGGAAATTAATTTGCACTTTTACAGCTCAACGGGATTTAAAGAAAAACATGGAGACTGACAACATCTACGAACATTACTATTTGCTCTAGCAATTATTTCTCAAGAACTGTGACCAACGATGCCTTATTCTCAACAAAAGACACACACCTAGTTAAAATAGATATATAAGTATAGAAGGTCGGCCCGATAAATTTGTTAAGCACGCGTGCAATCGGTGTGGTAGAAACCAAGCTGATTATTGTGCAAGTCGAACTCCATTTGAAAATTCTGCTGCATGTAATTACCCAAGATTATCGCAGGTCCATCATAAGGTATACCTAAATCACCATACGAGATCATGGTCGAGCAAATCGCAGCCGACGTCGTATTATAAATAAAGGAATTTTCAAAGGGCATAACCATCTGGACTGAGCCAGCGAAAACAAAAGTTAAAGCTGGCAAATCAGATATGTTAGCCTTGCAAGGAACACTATAACACAGCCCCAATCCAGTCGCCGCTTCCTCCTCTTTTGACCGAGTGTACCTCTTTCCTAATAATTGCTTGTCAAGCTCATGCGCGATTGGATCAAACACCGATTTCTCCATGACAGTTAAGGTGGTGCCGGAATCCACGAACGTGCCGCCACTGCCGTCGGCATTTGCCACAAGGTCTGTGCTCGAAACGTTGACTTTGACACAGCCGACGTGGATCTCCAATAGGCTGACGTAATAGAATTCTTGGAATTGAGGAAAAGTGGATATATTTGTGGTGTTGGCAAAGGGAGTGTGGTTCATCACATTCACATGCCTTCCATCCCCCCAGTTAAGGACCAAAGGACTGTGGATTCTCTTGTTGTCATCATATTTGTGAGAGACGAGGCAGTAGGAGAAACTTTTGAGCCCCAACTGCGCCGGCAGGGACATGCGGCTGCGCCCGAACCCTGCTATGCCATAAAGTGACACATTGTCCGAGGAATTGGAGCACCCTACAAGAAGGTTGGGCACATTAATATTGTTCCCAGCTGCCGAGAGGGTTAAAGACTCCAACATAAGTTGCCCTCTCGTGCTTCCCTCACCGTATCCGTATTCGTAGTGTATGTATTTTTTGGAGCAGTTGTGGGTGGGATGTTGCCAGCAGGACGTGCATGGTCGAAAATGGGGATCGATCCGTTTCAGTTGGGGGGAGATGCAGCTGGCGTTTTTTGAGGACGATGATAATTTTGGGTTGAAGGTGGGGATGTTGGTGACGTTATTGCAAGCGGTGCAGTTGTAGTTGGGCCCGCACGGGAACCAGACGAGGCCACTTCCGGTGTCCAGTATGAAGTCCAGGGGCTGCGCCGGGGTTCCAAATCCGAGGGTGGTGATGTGACAGCCAATGCTGACGGGGTAGACTAGCGTAGTGGCGGAGGTGGAACGTTTTAGGTGTCGGGCCCTTTGAATGGACGCGTAGGCCACGACGCTGAGGGGGCTGCTGTTTTCAGAGTGGTGATAATGGTATTGGGTGGTGAGGGAGAGGGTGATGGAGTTGGAACTGGCCCAACAAGATGGATACAACGTCAAAATTGGGAGGAGGAGGAGGAAGAGAAGCCAGCAGACACTGAAAGAGGACATTGTTTTTCTAATTATTTCTTGCTTCTACAATTATAATTTTTTTGGTACGAAACAAATCATTCGGAGCTTTGGTATTTGTAGAGTCTGGCTTACTTTTCTTGGACGACGTTTTAGGGATATAGATCCATCAATTGCAATGTAGAAAAAACATGCATCTAGCTCGGACAAGAATAAAGTGATATACCTGGAACAAGAAAATTCTATTTGACTATAAGGCAATTCCTTTTGCAAACAATAATTTAGGCTTTAATTTAAAATAAAATAATATAGCATATATTTTAATTTAAAATAAAATAATATAACATTTACTTTAATTTAAAATAAAATAATACAAGCATAGAAAATGCAAACACTAGCAAAATGTCACGATAAAGGAGGTTTGAATTTACATGTTTCAAAAGGCGATATTTTCAATAACTCAGCTTTCATAGGACCACAGTTCCTTGAGGTAAATATGTAATTTAATAAAAGTTAAATACATATACAATAATAATAAATATAAAGCCCAATAATATGCATTACATTAATGTGCAATGCGTACAACAATATTGTGCACGGTTTCGATAGCTATTGTGCAGTTTGAAATGATCAATCTTTTATCTCAAACCAATTTAAACTTGAACAAAATTAATTTGTTTATTAGATTGATTAATCGAATTTAACCAAAATAACTGGATTAAAATATAATTCAAATTATAAAATCATATTTAGTATTTTAATATTTTTATATAACATTTTAAATTTTTTTGGTTAGAAAATATTATTTTTATATAAAAATAAAAAGATCATCGTACCGAAATGACTAAAATATTAAAGGTAAAAATAGATTATTGATTCGACATATAAAATTCGAACAAAAAAACTTAATTTCGTCAGTATCGGTTGGTATAGTGCAATCCGACAGTAACTAATGTGCAATCTACCCAACAGTAATATGCACTCGAACTACATTTTTTTTAACGTTTTAAGATCAAACTAAATCTGAAATAATTGTATATGAATCGAATTAACACAAATAATCCAAATAGTTTATAATGTATATTATAAGTAAAATATATATATATATATATATATATATATATATATATATAGCGAATCGATTAGTCGGTTCGGTTATTTTAATCAATAAAGCTGTCATCGATATGAGATACCCAAAATTTAAAAAATAAAAACATATAATCGAACTAAAATATTGTTTTTTAATTAGAACGAGGGATGGGATGTATGTCTATGTAGGGTTTTGGTATTTGTAGAGAGCCTGGCTGTTCTCGAACGACTTTTTAGGGACAAATCCATCAATTGCAATGTAGAAAAAACATGCATTTACCTCGGACAAGAAAAAGGTAACAAGAAAATTATATTGGCTTCAAGGTAATTCCTTTTGCAAACAATAATTTAGGCTTTAATTTAAAATAAAATAATATAAGATTTGCTTTAATTTAAAATAAAATAATATAAGCATGCGGTAATCAGTGATGGATTTTTCCCCTTTATCTGCACTGTGCATAAACAGGCTTAGTAGTGCCTTTGTTTCAACTTGTTCATAATGAGATACAAGCATATAAAATGCAAAAATTAGCAAAATATCACGATAAAGGAAGTTTGAATTTGCATGTTTCAAAAGGCCATTTGTTCAATAACCCGGCTTTCATAAGACCACAGTTCCCTTACACTCAAACTCATTGACCAACGATCTTGCAGATGGGTCCTATATGTAATCTATCTATTCTATATATTATTATTATATGTATATATATATATAGTATATTATATATTATAATTATTATAATATCTGTAAAAGGACGAGTGTTTTGTAAAAAAAATGAACTACCTAAAATACTCTTACTATGACATATTTTTAATGCCAAATTAAAAATACACTATATCCATTTTATCTTATATTTTTAATTAATAACTGTAATTTACCTAAAAAAACCCTCTATTTGACAAAGTAATCAACTACTTAAAACACCCTTATTTTGACATATTTTTAATGACAAATTAGTAATACACTATATCTATTTTATCTTATATTTTTAATTAATAACTACTACCTCCGTTTTTTTTTTATAAATGTCATTTTGGTTTTATCAACAATTGACTAAATAAATGACGTTTTGTATCTTTTGTATATATTTTTTCATTATTACCCTTATCTAGCTAATAAATACACTACGTCGTTTCATATTCACTCTTTATCTTTTCTCAAAACATCCATCTCTATCCTCATTAATGAGGGTTATTATTGGCAAAAAAATATTCTTAATTAGTGTACAACTTCTCAAACCGACATCTATTAAAAAAAAGGATGGAGTATAATTTACCTAAAAAACCCTATATCTTATACTATCGTTTTAGGTGGTCTTATTTTCACTAACTTTCTATATTTTTGTTTGTAACTTTATATATTATAATTTATTTATTTTAATTTTTGTTCATCTTTTTCTATATATTTATATTGAATTATCTTTTCTATTAAATAATCTACTTCTTTAATTCTCTTTCTTTGTATTTCATATCGTTCAAGATTTATATCTCCCATATTTATATCTATATTTAAAATTCTAGATTTGTTATTCAAATATATTGCTAATGAGCTTAACTCATTTACTTGCTTATTTAATTTTTTTTATTTCTATGTCCCTTTTATATAAACTACTAGGTTTTTCAATTTCTTGAATTCTTAATAAATTCTTTTCATTTAGTTTTCCTAAATTTGTAGGATTACTTAATTATATCGCCTACTATGTTCTCTTAAAAATTCTTTTTGAATTCTATTATTTTTTATAATAGTACTTGTTTCATTGAATATTTTCTTGTATATATTCTTTCTTGGTTTTGATAATGCATTAAACTTCTATTACGTAACGCATATCCTATTCTATAACAAACAACCATAGGTATATCATCTAAGTCCATTAATGTTTTTTCTTGAAAATTATACATAATTCCTATATAGTTATTAATTTTTTTAGTTAATAATAGTATAGGAAATTGTAACGATATGTTAAACTTAATTACTCCATACCTTAAATCTCCTTCTATTTCTCCTAACTTTCTTGATTCTTTATGCGTAATTCTCGACTTTCATATTCATGGGTGTTTTTATTCCTTCTATAAATGTTGATCGTAATAGTACTATTTGTATTGTGTTTATGTGTATATAATTTATCTTTTTCTTATTTTCTTCTTTTATTTTTTCTAATCTCCTTTTTATTGAATTTATTTCAACTAAGGGTGCTTGAAAATTACAATTTACTTGTTCTATTCTAATTGGTTGTTCTCCATTCATTATTTAGTAATGCTTTACATTTTTTTCTATTTAATTTTTCTAATATACCATTATTTATTCCTTCTTTCTTGCTTTCTAAATCTAAATTTCTTTTATTTATTACTTTTTTTACTAGTTTTTCTTGTCTAATAGTATTTTGATAAGTAATAACTTGTTTTTCTATATTTTCTATAACCTGGTAATCGTTTTCCATTATTTAATTTTGACTATCGAATTTGGCTTTGTTTTTATTTCTAGGTCTATCGTTTTTTGGTAAATAGATTTCTTTTATAATATGTTTAATGTCTAAATTTCTTTCGTCTCGTAATATTTTTAATTCCGTTTTTCGACTTAGATTAGCATCCACTTAATGCTTCAATCATTTGTGAAGACACATAATAATTCATTTATCTACTATTTAAGTTCTTTTTCTATGTCCTTATAATACAAATTTATTCTAGGTATTATGTATTCTTGATCTTCTATTCTCAATATTAATTCTCTTTTATTATACCCCATACGAACTGTTATAAAAAGTCGATTCCTAATGATACTGATATATGTCCTTGATTCTTCTTGTTGGTAGTTGAGATCTCTATTGTCATACTTATATCCTTAGTGAATACTATTTCAATTTCAGATACTTTTGTATTATTTACTTCTTTTTCTTTGCATATTGCAGGATTGATTTCAGCTTTTATATCTACAATTTCTCTAGCTAAATTTACACTTATGTGACTATTACATGCTCCTGTATCTATAAATACTGTAACTAACTTCATATTTACTAATACAACAACATGATATTGGCTATAGTGCTGTTTACTTAAACAAACTTTTACTTGTTTCATATTTTCTCTTTATCTTAATTTTCAAATATGTTGTTTAAGAAAGAAATAATAAGCTTATATAAGAATATACCTTCCTTTGTTAGCTAATCTTAATTTTCTTTCCTTGCTTATTATTTCTGAGTGTATTTAATTACTCATGAAGTATGAAACACACATCTTTTATTTCATAAAGAGGATTACAAGACTCGATTTTTTCATACAAACTTGAGCTCTGCCCAGAATGACAAAGTCTCGACCCTTAAATAGGCGAGGATTAGCACAATTTTTGAGTGTATTTATTTATTTATTGAATGAAAAAGTTTAATATTTTAAGGGTTAATAATGAAAATATTATTCACCTTGATATTAATCACTAATGGTTAGGTGAAGATTCGTTAACTTTATTGTTGATATTAATCACTAATAGTAAGGTGAAGATTCGTTAACTTTATTGACTTTGTAACCAAAACTGAGAAAAATAAACAAAGAAACAAATAAAGCACGATTTTTGTGCGACCAAAATCCAATCCAATAAAATTAAGGTTCAATTTCCAGATTAATTCTAAATAAAAGAGTTTACTTTCTTAAATAATGAAGTAGTTAAATGAATTGTTCACTTTTCTAGTTTGTTAGATTATGTATATATTTCACGGTGCATGATTTTAGTAAAATTTTAGGTATCTTCTCTTAATTAATGTCAAATATGTATCTTTTGAATTATTTATTATATACAAGTTACCCCTCAATTAAGTTGTCATTTTTTACCAAGATTTATCGTTTATTAAAATTGTAAATAAATAGTTGAAAATATTTATATTTTTTATATATACTTATTATGCTATTACTGTTGCATTAATTTTTTTTAGAAAAAATAAATACGTATTAGAATCATGGAATAT